AAATTCATACATAATAATACATATGGTGATAAAGACAAAATTATATCCAACGAGGTTTAAAATACGGTCATAAAAATTGTAAAAATTTTGCATTGAACTGAAAGGGTTATATCAGAGTAAAGTAAGAGCAAAAGTGGTTTATTAAATAATGTCTACATACAATTACGTAGAAACATTATTTTGATATTTTTTTACGAATAGGTCAGTACAAATTTTATGACTATATTGCCAGATAGACCAGATAGCGCAGTGTCGAGTCGCCTTTAACAAAAAGGAGTCACTTCTATGCTGGCGAACGATTAATTCAGAAATTCAAAAAAGATTGTTAAAGGTGTGTATTTATAACGCGGCGCTGTACGGGTGCGAAACATTGACGGTGGGCGCGGCGGAAAAAAAAGGTGAGGCTAATGAAGAGATATTAAAAAGAATAGGAGAATACAGGACTCTATGGAAGTCAATAAGAAATAGGCGAGATAAGTAAGTAGGACACCTTTTCAGGCATGAAGGTCTAGTCAAAGACATATTAGAGGCGGAAACAGGAGTTAAGAGGAGTAGAGGTGGACCTAGATTAGATTACTGTTCGCAAATAGTTAAGGATGTGGGTTGTTCTAGTTTTAGGGAAACACCAAGTTCAGGTCAGGTCAGGAAAGAGTGGAGGTGCGTGTCCAACCAGTCTTAGGTCTGACGACCTTATAATGATGATGACCACATTGAAAACTTAGTTCAAAATAATTTTAATCTTCCTATCACTGGGTAGTGTTCTTTCGAACAGGGGTTGCACATACAAAAAAAAAGAAACGAATAGAACAAAATTCTTACCTTTACCACAGGTGTTGCACTGGAATTTTCTTTCATCGGTGTGGGTCGGGAGGTGTCTCATGAGGGTATACTGATGACCGAATTCTTTCGAACCTATATTATCAATAACATTGTTTTTCAAGCATCGTATGTTATATACATTTTAAAGACCAATAGGAGATCTATAAAGAAGTGTTTGAAAATCTTTTATCGAAAAGAATAAGGTGCAGATATTATAAATTAAATGCTTATTGAAATGGAGCGATGATAAAAGTTCGAATGAGATAAATCTTCTGTACTCAGATTGCTTGAAAGTGGAAAAACATCAAACTTTATAACAGCGTAAAATTAAATTCGGAGAACCAAAAAGAAATAACTGTCATGAGAATATTTTATTCGCGTCATATTAACCTTTGATTGCATTACTTTGGATTAAGGATTAAATTTTAGCATTAATAGCTCAACTTACAAATTCCGCATTCGTAAACTTTGGAATGCCTCCCATCTTGTATTTTGTACTTGACAAAATGGGTCATATTCCTGTCAGTTTTCATCTGGTCCATTTTATAAAAGCTTCCAACGTCAATGGGGAGTTTGGTGAAGTTTTCCCCCGTGAGCGTTTGATTCATTTGAGGGTCATTCAATTGTTGAATGTTGAACGAAGAGTTCTCCATCAAAGCGTCACCGTCCACAATGTCCTCCACCATCCGAAAGTTGCTGGAGTCTCTGGAGAACTCTTCCATCTCAGCCGAAGTCAGTAGAAGAATATCTTCATCCACTATTGCTTCTTCTTTTATATTGACATCGCTTAAAGGAGAAGCAAACAAAGAAAATTGATAATGGAAAGGGCAGGAATAAAACAGGATTTTAGAAAAAAGAATGAGCATGGGATTAAATCCAGTTGAGAGATCTTAGTTGTTGTAGACCCCTAAATATAATTTGATTCCTAATGAGAATATCTAGGTGCAGATTTGTTGCCCTACATCACTATTTTTAACCCTAATTATTACCTACAGTTACTACAATACAACAGTGCTTTAGTTTGCCAAAAGAGATTATTCAATTAACTTGCTGTCTACAACAGACAGAATATTTACTTGGACTTTCTTTGCTGTTTCTGTACATGTTTGACAAGTACCACTACATTCTACCTTTATTTCAATTATCCAACACTTTATTGAATCTAAAATCCCTTTTCAAGTTTCTTAACAATTACATCCTTTAAAACGGTGTAGCCTCTTGTCCAATTTATGTTCGTACCTTACACTTCACCTTATGTAATAGAGTACCTATGTCTGATGTCATTAGTCTTTATTAAGGGATAAGTAAATTGTGCAAGATAGTCCCAGCCTTCTATTCGTCATGAACTACCCCAGCTCTTTCNTCAACCAATTAAATGAGGAAGAGTGTAGAGAAAGTGTTGTAAAATAATTTCTTGCAAACAGTTAACAATTAATGTAAATACCTAAATGCTTTAATTACTGTATTTTGTATGTTTTAACTATGTTTACGTTTTTAACAGAATTATATTTATTTAATTACAATAAAGTAAAAGTACTTACAAATACTGTTAGATAATTTTCTTTCATTTTCAAAAAAACTTCCCTAAAGCGAACAACAAAACCACCAGGTATTAAACAGTTTTAAAAGTACGTTTACACATAAGCAAAACACTTTCAACTGATGTGTCGGTTCAAAGATAACGTTTTTCGCAGATGTATGCGAAAAAAATCAATGCAGTTCCATGAAAGTGTATCTGCATTTAAAATTGTACATTCTCCTCTGTTTCTAAGAAGCTGAGGGCGAGGCGTTTTCATTGAAATATCACCGAACATAGCAAACAGATTGACTTTTAGGGCAGTATTTATGGAAGCTACAGTCGGTTATGATGTTCTCTTTATCTTAAATTTGAAACTTATTAGTAAATGCAATCCTCATTAATTAAAAGTCGGTGATTGTTTAGTTTAAAAGATGCAAAGTGAGTTCAAAGATGAAAGTTTGTGTTTTTAGTGTTGTTACTATGCAGATTTCGCATGGAAAGTTACCATGTTACTTGGGATTTCAGCAAAAGTTGTTACAAAAATAGTTTCTTGAGTAAAACAAGAGGTAAATTAGAAATTAATATGCTGAAACTGAAATTCCTTGCTCCTGGATTTAATAAACGGTCCCTTTCTACGTGGAATTTAAAATGGCTATCGCGTTGCTAAACGAAAAGTTTACATTGCGTACTATTTTTACTTACCTTGAAGGTAAATTGTTGTCTTTCGTTGCTGTGAAATCGACGTCTTTGAAGATGTAATGGGCATTATCCATATTTTTCGTTTACTTATTTGCGAACGAGGTCAAAAACGTTGTCGGCGTCGATGGGCGTGGATGCGGTCATCAAAAAAATAACATGTTGCACATGTAAGCGCTGCACTTCCCGATTCAAATGCACAATTTTGCGGTGTTTTTTTGTTTGTACAATTATTAGATTTTTATAAAATTAATTCTTCCTTGAA